CTGGCCTCTGGGCAGCTTTATCCCTGCTTGGTGGTACTGTGCTGCTGCTGAGCCTGCCCCCACCCCTGCACTGATGCGAATCTTTGTTATGTTTTAAAGCTAGATGCCCACACACACACACACACACACACACACACACACACACAAGAGCCTCATGTGCTAGGAGGCAGGACTTCTAGAAGGTGGTTAAAAAATGCGGGTGCTACAGCTGACTTGCTGTTAGGAGGTGGGATCCGGAAGAGGCGGGTCACTGGGGGCATGTCCTGGAAGCGCTTATCTCCCTCCCTGGCTCCTCCCTTCTCTCTCTGCTTCCTGCCCTCCCTGATGTGAGCAGCTTTTCCTCTGCCATGCTACCCTGCCTTGGAGCCAGCTGAACGTGGCCTCCATTATGTTTTGGGTGGAGTACTGTGTCTCAGCAAGGAGGAATGTGACTAAGACAATCTTGCCCGTCAGTCTGCCCCTACCCACCTGACACAGGCGCCCAGGCGAGGCCGAGTCTTGGCGAGACTCTGAGCAGCTCTGTGAATCTGCGTTCCGGACTGAAATGAGGTCAGTTTTTAATTTGATTTTTTCTCCCCTGTAACAAGCAAAGTTCACATTATAGATAAATTGCCTAGAAATTCCAATTTAATAAGGCATATGCATTTTCAGGCCTAAAAGCACAGAACACGTCTTGTACACTGGTATTTTTATACTGAAAGCCTTATTAAAAAGACAGCTTTGAAAATGTCAGAAATTTACATAGTGTGTCCAGCCAGTTGGTCAAAGAGGCAGATTTAACAAAAGTACTCAGAAGCTGAGCAGCGGAAGAGCAGGCTGGCTGTGATCTTGAGCCCCGGTGCCCTCTAGGTCGGGGAGGATGCACCTGCCATTCGGAGCCCCCCAGCCATTAGCTTGGACCTGCAGCTCCAGCCAGTGTGGGGCTGGGGACTTGGCCCTGGAGAGCCCTCTGTCCTTGTGCCCCAGTGTGGTTCTGAGAAGGGGCAGCAGGGTGGGCTTCAAGGGCACTTGTGGTCCAGGACACCTCTGCTAGGTGTCCACGAGAAGAGGCCCCAAATAAAAAAGTAGAGAGAAGCAAACGTGAATGGTCCTGGAACACATCAATAGCAGAGTTATGGGTACCTGGTTATTTTTTAAGGAAGAAAAATAGTGAACTGTGACACACTCGGGCATAAGTGGCCAGGGTGGGGCTGTCAGAGCCTACCTAGCATCCACATTCCTCTCTCAGCACTGATCTGAACATCATGACCCCTTATTCAAGAAAACAAGCAAGCACATTAATTGTACTGCAAAACTAGCATCCTGAGGGGGAAATATATATATATATATATATATACATACATATAAATGACAGCAAGAAATCAAGAGCCATGCTTGCATACAACATGAAAACTAAGTTGAATAATCAGGGGATAAAATAGGGTCTATTTAAAGTTTTCATTATTTCAAATCTGTTGAACCACCACAAATCACCCCTGGATCAGCTGTGAACCTGCTAACCTGATAAAATGGGACACAAATGTCAACTTCCTTTGCATTTTCCTTTTCAGCATTTTTCCAATTGAAAGAGAAAAGATGCAGTGAGTATTCCCTGCCTCTGCCACACCCCAGGCCATCCGCTCGACCCTGGGAAACAGAATGGCCAACACCTGGCCTGTGGCATGAGGCACACACTGCATGCGTCCCAGGCCCGGTCCCTGCAACCCTGCACATCTGTGCTGAGCTCCAGCTCCACCACCCCTGAGCTGGGCTGCTTTTGTCAAGTGGCTAAGCCTCTCTGAATTTTGGTTACTTCACGTTTCAAACAAGGATGGTACCCGCTGTATCAAGTTGTTGTTGAGTCATGAAAATAAATGTGGTGGCACCATAAGGTTCAGGCAAAGTAAGCATTTTTTGCTTATTTTAGCCAACATTTACCTCATCCTAACACCAAGGAATTTAGAGTCCAGCAAAATTGGCAGACCCATAACGCCCATATTATGCTCTGGCCAGCATTTGAATTTATGTGTGTGCTCAGTGAGAACCTAGTGGAGGGTGATTAATTCTACCTGGGAAGTCACATAGGGTGACAGAGAGGAGACGTTTGAGTGGGATGTTGAAAAATAGTAGGAGCTTGCCAAGTAGAAGTGTAAATTACTATTGAAATGAAAGACTAGTGTTTTTAAAGCAGTTGCTTTCATGAGCAGTGTGTCTCTTCCATTTTTAAAAATTATTGAGATGATAATTGAGGTGGCCAGGGGGTAGGGGTGCCCCACAGGAGTCCCCTGCTCTCTACATCTGTCCCTGCACTGCAGCAGCTACAGACGATGCCCACAGGGCTCTGCCAGGCTGGGTGTTTACAAAACATCCCAGGCATGGTGCGAGCTCGGGAAAAGAGCACACACTGGCCGCTGGCCCCAGGGGACCCCTGACACGGTGACCTGACCTGGCAGCACCACACTGTCTTGCTCAGTGTCCTCATTGGTAAAAGGGAACTACGAACATCACTGACCCCACAGGGTCAGAGTGAGGACTGCTTCTGCTGTCTGGATCCGGGGACTGTACCTGAGGCGTGGCACACTCAGTGTGATGCTGGTGGCTGTGCTCAAGGTGGTCACTGCTAAAAGGCACACGCCCCTGCGGCTGCCCTGAGAAAGACAAGACCAGGCACTTGGCAGGGAGCCACAGGGCCTTGCCCTGGTGTCCTCTTGTGGGCCAGGACGAAGCCTTGACTCGCTTCTCAGGTCAGTTCACATCTCTCCCATGCTAGAGGGGAGGGGAAAGCCACAGTGCCTCTCGATGGGGCGGGACGGCCGTGCTGTGGTGTCGGGGTCTGTGCAAACCCTTGGGAAGCCCTGAGGCCATCAGCCTGCATGCCAGTGCTGGAGGGAGTGAGGGTCCCCGGTGGTCAGGCCAGGGCCGTGGGTACCTGTCCTGGGACTCCTGGAGGTTCTTGGCCACCGGAGAGATGCCCCTTCCCGTTGATGGCCCAAGGTTTCTCATCCCTGGCTCCCACTCTTGACAGGCAGGTTGACTGTCCCTCCTCTCACATTGCACCCCTGAGATCACCCCCAAGTCATGGGTGAGGACCACTGCAGCTCTCTGCCCCCACCCCCACCCCACCTCCCCCTGAAAAATCCCCCACGGCACAGGCTTGTCCCCATTCTGTCCTTAGAGGCAGCTTTTCCTCAGGATTCAGCCTCTTCTTTCAATTCAGCATCAACTTCAATCAAACAATCTCTGACCCCTGCCTTGAGCAAATAAGGTGATGGGAAGTGGGTTAGCATGGGGCTCAGAATAGAGCCTTTGAGATCAGACCACCAGGGCCCACGCCCTGACTGTAACTGGAGCAGCTGTGGAATCCGTGCCTCAGTTTCTTCATATGTAAGTAAGGATGTTATACCCACTGAGATGATTCAGTGATGCTACTATAACAAACTACCGTAAACCTGGTTGTCAGAAATGCATTCTCCCACAGTTCTGGAGGCCAGAAGTCCATAGTCAGTTTCACCGGGTCAAACAAGGTGTCAGTCAGGCCACACAGCCTCCAAAGGCTCAAGGGGAGAGTCTGTCCCACCTCTCCCTACTTCTGCTGCTGCAGCATTCCCTGGCCTGTGGCTGTACCACTCTAGTTTCCGCCTTCGTGGTCATAGGGGCGTCTCCTCTTCTGTGTGTCTCAGCTCTCTTTGCTTTCCTCTTGCATTTAGCACCCACAGAGCCCAGAGACCAAAGCAGTATCCCATCTCACAATCCTTAATCAGCTCTGCAAAGCCCTTGTCCTGTGTGGGAACATTCACAAGTTCCGGGATGAGGATGTAGGTGGGTATCTTCTCCACCATGAGGACGAGGGTGGGAATTTGCCACAAGCTCATCCCTTGGAGATTTGTAATCCTGTTGTTTAAGTGGAGTTTTAAAGATCCTTATTACCAAATCCAGCCAGCCATACAGGGCAAAGATGATCAACTTTGGGCATCTTACCAAACCTGTGAGCTGCCTGTGCCTGCATCTTCCCAGGGCGGTGTCTTTCAGAGAGGTGGGGAATGGCAGGAAACCACTCACAGGCATCCCTCTGGCTTCAGTACAGGAAGAGCACATAGTTACTGGAGCCTCCCGGTTCAGTGACATCTGAGCTGTGTTCAGTTAGAGTCTCCCTGACAGAGAAGATTTTCATTGCTTGCTTTATGCCTCTTTCTGTGGTTTGAACTTCTAACCAGGAGCACATATTACTTTCACAACAACCTCAAAAAGGTTTTAAACCCTCTGGTGGTTTCCTGTTATCCAGAGTCCAATCCCTTTATAGCAAAGCTTCAGTTCTTTGTAATTTGGCCTCATCTGTTTGTCTAAACTTATTTACTTTCCATTTCCCTTAAAGAAGCTATGTTCCAGCCACAGTGTCTGCTTCCAGTCATGCATCTGCATTTTTTCAGCAAGTAGCTATTGGGTGTCGTACATGTGCTAAGCAGTGTTCTAGGAATTGGAGCCGTGGCTATGGACAGACGTATGTCCTTGCCCTCATGAAAGTGACATCCTAGTGCCTGCCTCTGTCCAGGGGTTAACTCGTGTTGTTCACCCCTAGTTCTCTGACAGTGCCTCAACCCTTTCTCCTGTCTCCGTTCAGATGCTGCATTCCCTGTGTGGTCCCCAGGGCTACCCTTGATGTCTGCAGGCACCCTCCAGGCCTGCGCCTTCACACGAGTGCTCCCCGACCTGGTCTGCAGGCAGGGTGCACTGGAGGTGTAAGAGAAACCAGGCTGGACCTGGACTGAGGAGATGGGCTGTGTTCAGCTTCGTCCTCCTTGCACGCTTGTCCTGAGGAGGAGAGGGGCACGTGTGCAAAGCATTCAACACAGAGCAGGTGCCAGTGGATGGCCAGCTACCACTCTCTAAGTAAGAACTGCAACTGCAGCAATGTTTAGAGTATGGTAACCATGACCTGGCTGGCAGTTGTGCCCTGGACTTAGTAAATACTACTTGTCTCTAACTTAAATGCAATCTGACATCGTTTGGGGCTTTTTTTTCAGATATTCTGTTTACAAGGACCCAGCGGGCTGGCTGAATATTAACCCCATCAATGGGACTGTTGACACCACTGCTGTGCTGGACCGGGAGTCTCCCTTCGTCCGAAACAGTGTATACATGGCCCTCTTCCTGGCAATCGACAGTGGTGAGTACTTTGAAAACGACAATCGCGAGTATGAATTTCAGTTACAAATACATTTGTGTATTTCTATATATTTTCTTATGCACCTTGGGGTGTTATTGAGGAGAATACAAGTGAATGGGACCAGAGAAGCAAACATCTAAACACACGTCCTGAGTTAGTAGTATCCCAGCCTGTGAATTCATGGGTCTCTGTGGAAAGGTGAATGTGTCCAGGAAGGGGTCAGAGCAGTGAGCTTGCTGTGCTCCACCTGTCCAGGCGCTGAGCTAGGAAGCCAGGCTGCTGTCTGTCAGAGTAGAATCATGTTCCCCTCTTCACAGAGGGCTCTGTGATGTGATGTAAGTTGAAGGAAAGTCCCATGGGACATCACTGACCCTGACCGTTGAATTGTTCCTATGGCTTTTATCTTATTGAGATGCATCCAGGGAAAGACATGGTAGCTTCTTCACAACAACAAAACACCTGCTGTTCATTCAAAAGCTAATAATGCAACAGCCAGGTGCTGGCCTCTGTTTTAGATGCTGGGGATATGACACTACACCACCTAAAACCTGTCCTTCTGGGGCTGGCACACTGGGGCAGATGGCAAGCAGAGTTCAAAGGGCCATGCACATCCTCTGTTCTTGAGATCAGACCGCAGGGAACCATGGCAGAAGTGGGGGGCCCTCTTAGGAGACTTCCAGTAATTTAGGCATGTGGAGGCTCGGAGCAATTACAGGGGTGGGTTTAAGAAAGGATCTGATTCTAGAAATATCCTGTGTAGTGTGAATACAGAGTTCATGGGATTCGTCATTAATTGAGATGAGGGGTCAGAGTCGGGCTTTGGACGTGTTAAGTAGATGTCTGCTATATCAAATGTACAAGAAGTTTCATTCTGCCTCTCATTCCTAAAAGCAGGGTGTTTATAGCTGCAGACTCAGTTTTGAGTCCTTATGTCTCAAGATTAGTATTTATAGATAGGCATCATCATATCAGCAGCAAGGTGCAAACTAAGGTTTCTGAGCTCCAGTCTCCCTGTGTTGCGTAGTCCTTGTGTTCAGTGAGCCCCTGAGTCAGTCAAGTAAACAGAAAACCACAGTGGAAGCCCAGAGGAGCCCCTTGTCCTTCCTGAGAAGTCGTGTGGGGAGAGAGATTCCAGAGAGAGGAGATACTGAAACTGAATAGTGGATACATTGATAAGGTGCAGGACATTCTAACAACTGGAAAGAATATATGGGGAGTCAGCAAGTCGGTCAGCATTACTGGAAGCCAGTATGGTAGAGAGCATGACAGAGTGCACGGTAGGCTGCCCGTGTGCAAAGATGAGTGTGGGGAGCTGAGAAGGCAGCAGACTAAGTTGGATCTGGGTCTTGCAGTAAATCCCCAGCACTTGTCCCAGTCCCTGGCTGGGAGTAGACACTCAAAGAGCAGTGGGACAGATGGGAAAGTAACTGTGAATGCTCTGGATGCTTTGCCAAGGAGTCGGACTTGATTAGGTTACTCGCTTGGCTCCAGAATGAACTGGACTTTTGAAGGTAACTCCCGTGGCAGTGTAAAAAGGGATCTGCGTATAACATGTGAGGCTGGGAGGCATTAGACAGCTGTGGCAGAAACCCAGGTAAAAGAAGGAGGAACCAAAATCAAGGCAATGAGGCTAGTTTTGGTGCAGAGTCTGCGGTTGAAAACTGTGTTGAAAACCACAGCAGGTATCTGAGTTAGAAGGCACAGGACCTTGGGCAACAGAAGGGTAAAGGTAGATGATACTGGAAATAAAGAAACTGGCTTTGTGAAGAACCCATGCTGGACTTGAGTTAGAGAGAGATTGCTCTGAGGTGTGTGTCTAGTACAGAAATCAGGAATGATTATTCCATTGACAGGAACTGGAGCTAGTGCCAGGGCATTACTCCCATCTTGATTTGGGGGTGTACGTTGAGATGTTGTTCCATGAGAAGTTGACAGCATAGGGCCGGAATAGTGGAGAGGGGATCTTGCTTAGGGAGTCACCAATGCCAAAAGAGATGGCAGCCACTGAAACAGAGGAGCTTCCAGAAGGAATAGGTCTACAGGTTAAGGCCATCAACAGTGAATGACAATAAGCCAAGAATGCTTCAAATGCTGTGTAACTAAGGGCTGTCAATTATAGATCAGCTCCAGAAACTATTTCAGATTCTTCTGTACTGCATAAAAGTTCTGTACTTACAGAGAAATTTCTCGGCTAAGAATGCCATGAAGGAAGGTTGAGTACAATATAATTGTCATTGTCTTATGAAGTGATGTATGAAATTATTAATCAAAGAAACCCAAAAAGTACAGTGCCCTTTAATTTTTGCCAGAAGTTATATCCTTCTTTCCATATATGCAGTGATCAGTTATGTGACTCTCTTTGTGTGTACATCTTGCCCACAGATATCATGGAGAACTAATACACAATCTGCAACTTGGGAAACCGACACACAATTTGGCTGACTTTCCCAAGTCCTATCATTAGGGTATCATTTTCCAGGACTAAGGTTGGGGCTCAGTGGTAGAGCTTGTGTTTAGCATGCACGAAGCCCTGGGCTTGACCACAAAAAAGAAGGCAAAAAGGTTCCTCTTAGGACATCATTTCCTGTCTTTGGCATCTTACATCCTTAGCATTCTTAATTTTTTTTTAATTTTTTTTTTTTTTTTGGTACCAGGGATCAAACGCAGGACCTTGCGTTTGCAAGGCAGGTGCCGGAACCACTGAGCTAAATCTCCAGCCCTGTCCTTAGCATTCTTTAAAATTTCTATCTGGAATCAGAAAATAGGTTTAAAGTTCCACCATGACAGTTGCTAGCTGTCTAATTTGTCTTACAACATAGTCAGGACCTAAGGACACATTATCGCCAGGCATTTCTGCAGAGGAAATTGGGTCTCGGTTTTTCTGTGTCTCCCTGACCTGAGCTGCCTGGCAGTGAGACTGCAAAAGCTCCTTATCCATTCGGAGGCTCTGTCCCTCTTTCTACAATGTGTGAAGGATAATGCCTACTTATCACGTTGTTGAGAGAAAGGAGAAGGTGAAGTGCCAGTGCCCTCCAGACCCCCCACCAAAAGCCATATTAACAGCTCGCAAATGTTAATCCCATCCCAATGGGAGTTCTGGAAGGAAAGAGTAAAACTGGCAATAATCTTCCCATGACCCAAGAGAAACTCAGCCTCTCTTAATACTCATGTCAGGGCCAGGGATTTAGCTCAGTAGTTCCAGCGCCTGCCTCGAAAGCACGAGGTTCCGAGTTCAATCCCGGGTACCAAAAAAAAAAAAAACTCATGTCAGATAAAGAAATTAAAAATCTGGTGTTACAGATATTGCCAGAGGACTAACATGTTCCTGAAGATGTAAGGAGAAAACAGGTTGACATTAATTAATATACAGAATCACTGTTAGGAATAATAATCTTGAACAAAACCCAAAAGACTTAGAACAAAAAGATCATAAACTTCAAAGATGGCATAAATCAGAGTAACTTGTGCTTAAAGACTTCTTCTTGTCATTCACTGAAAATTTATCTCTTGTATTATGTTTAACTAGGAGAAACCAACACTTATCTATTAGATCAGAGTTAACAGTACTAACTGATGCTTCATCTTTATCTAAAGTGAGCATTTGTTTTTATTAATTTTAAAGAAATTCAATTTGTTTGATGGAATGGAAGAATAAAGATTTTTGTCATTTAGCATGAGGAAAGTTAAATCTCTTGGGCTGATTTTCTCCAAACAAGGAATCACTCAGGCATTTATGCCAGAACATGTCAATATGATGGAAGGTCACAGGAGCTCCAAGGTAGAATATAGTAATTTGACATCCCCACTGCAAAACTGGAAAAATACAGGTAACTTACAAAAATCAGAAAATACAAAAAGCATCTTAGTTGCTGTAAAGATATCAGAAAACCATGGAAGAAGTGAACCCTAAATAAGCTAAAATACGAGGGAGAAGAACCATTCCAAAGAGCACAGCACATCCAGCCAGTGTTTCCCTTTGGGGCCATCTTCTTATTCTGAGTGAGAGTCGGGTTGGCCCAGGTAGAGACCTGAGGAGGGAGAAAGGCTTGCAGGAGTCAGTGGAGCTGGGGTGCCAATTTGGAAATTGAAGGGCTTTAAACACAAGGCTGCTACCCCCACCCACCAGGACAAATAGTTTTCCCAGGACAAATAGTTTTCAGGACATCTCCTGAAGTCTCACAGGAAACAAAACAAGCACAGGAACCAAGCTTTCTTCAAACAGACAGCCATTCTCTCATTTAGACACCTGCCAGACTCTGAAGGTATAAGTGATAGAGGTTGGGGGTGTGGCAGGGGTGGAACTGGTTTCAGTTTAAGGACAGAGCTGAGTCTCCTGCAGCCTCTCAGGGCTGAGATGCTCAAGGTTCTCAAACTCCAGAAGGGCCATGCCTAGCAACAAGGGTGTGCCGCAAGTTGACCAGGCCTTGTTAAGCATGCAGCCCACTGACCCATCCTATCCTCAGACTGAATTGGTAAGGCGAGTCCTCACCTACCTGGCTGACACAGAGAAGAGAACACTCAAAGCAAAATACGTTACCTTGAGCCTCCATTATTGTTTTACACATTACTCCAAATTTGCAATTTAAAAAATCACTACACCTCTAGAAAAACAAGAATGTACAACTGATGATCAACAGAAAAATCAGACTTACTAGGGTCCTGATATTTGAGTTAGAACACAAGGACTTTAAAATAACTATGATTAACATGTTCAAGAAAGTGGAATAAAGGATAGATTAAAGCAAAAGGAATTACACCAGAGATCTGGAATATATAAAAATGAATCAAGTGGATATTCCTGAGATGAATTTCATTGGATGTTGAGAATTCAACGGGTAAATTTAACATTTGAACACATAATTTGTGACCTGGAATATGAAGCTGCAGAAAATACCCCAAGTGAGTCTCAGAGAGAAAAATAACATAAGAGACTAGTGGGACATGCATGAAATTTAAATCACAGATGGATTAAGAGCATGAAAATGGAACAGAAAAAAATT